TTGTCATAAAATAACGGTACATAGAGTCATCGAATTTTGAATAACGTAATCCTCCAACGAATATGAGCATGTAGAAGACCAAATTGGAAATTTGAAATTTGTTTTATGATCGATTTCCTATTTTTTAAAACTTTGACGAATTTTTGATTAACAAACTCAAGAATTTCAAAGCGAGCAATGGCAACGTTGTGCAGAAAAAACATTTTTATCTCCAGCGCGTGAGTCTCTGTATCGGAATTTCTAAAGATATGCTCGTTTTAAAACTATTTTGCGATATTGCTGTTGCACTGGATCTTATGGTTTAAGTGCGAGGAACATGATATTTAATAAAGAAAGGTAACACACAAAATGTTAAAAAACGCCCCTTTGGACGTAATTTAAAATCTGAAACATTTCAGATTTTTTTTTTTTTTTTTTTTTTTTTTTTTCTCAGCTGAAAACGTGCAGCCGGGCGCTCGCAGGAATTAATGTAATTTCCTACTGCGTTTCAATCCCACAACAACGGACGCAGTTAAGAAAAGGCTGTTTCTTTATAAACTATGAATGAATGGAAATTATTGCAAAGCGTTATTGGGACTTCGCTGCTTTCTCATACACACAGTAATTTGTCATAGTAATTGACATACACATCAAACACATAGTAATTGATAATCACATTGTAGGGACATTAGGTATTTTTTTTGAAGCAGACAAGATGAAAAATGAGCAATCGCCTTCGCCGGGAATCGAACCACGGACCTCTGGAATACCGGCCCAGCGAGCAGACCATCACACCACGAAGGCACGCTAAGAAGGCGGAAGAAATACTTTATAACATGGTAATCTTATTCTTCTCAATATTGAGATTCTCGTGTTTCACAATCGATATTGCGTGTAGTTAATGTTATATGCGGGTTCAAATCAGTCAAGTTACTAAGTAAGTCAACATAATAGGAGAACCATTTTAGTTTTCTCGAACCTAAATTAATAAAGGGAAAAAATGGCCAAATTCTGAAGCATCACATAGATGATATCATAAGGTTGAGGGCTAAATGAATGGTAGTTACATCAATTTTGGGCGACACTATATATTCCTGACAGTTTCAGTATTTTCACTTCTCACACAGCTGATTCATAAAAATTCAACTTACATGCTGAAACTAGTGCTACTAGTATGCATCTCTAATATTCTTCGCAAACATAAGAGTCACTTCAAGATTAATTCATTTTTGTTAATATTCTGTCCAAAGGTTTGGAAGTTCCCATGGGTAAGGAAGCTGTCATTTTTTTACAATCCTTTTTCATAGTAACACAGGACTGATATTACTCTAGTACACTGATAGGATAAAAAAGCCAGTACACTAAGCTGGTCATGTGAAAGTTTCGTGTTCAACTACAAACAACAGCAGATATTTTTTCTCTCTGCTGAGAAAAAAAAACAAATGAAAGAGAATCACAAACTGTGTTTTAGTGTCTTAAAACAGTACAATATAACACGCACCTTGGAGAAGATCTGCATTGAAGACAAGCCCTCAACCTCATACTATCATCTATGTGATGCTTCAGCATTTTTCTAGTTAATCGTTAGATTTGACTCGGCCTGTTAACTGCGTCCTCAGAAGTCATAGGTTATTACCGAGCCTTTGTTACTTTTGTGAGTATACAACGTTCTATAATACATTATTTTTTAACAACTGATATATGCTGAAAAACTTTTCACTCAAATAATTTGTAAGCTCTAAATATACATTATAAAATTTGGCATTTTTTGGTAGTATAAACTGGCCTCAAACCCTTAACAGACTTATAATAAATAAATTATCGCTGTGGTTGAAGTTAACGGTAGGGTCATGGGAAGGTTTCTAAAACAAACATCAGAGCTTGAACATAAACGCACGAGTCTTGCTTACAAATCAGCACCACTTGGGCCGATGTAATTTAAATTAATATTCAATTTCAAATTTAAATCTAAGTCTCATAGTCAAAGGCTACGTAACTTATTTAACACGAGGTTGACTCAAAACGTCTCACCGGTGTAATAGTTTAAACCAAGGGCAGCTATAACGCAAAGTTCAATAATTATAAACTATCAGAGCTAGCAAAACCTAGTAGCGTGGCCTCAAGGGCCAGAAACACGCTCTGTCGTGCAGTCTCCAAAACCTCGCCTCAGATACTTTCAAACCTGATTTGAATTCCGGTAGAGAAACGGAGAGGAGAATAAAGATCTAAATCGTAATAATTTTTTTAGATTAACATAATGTAACTTTACATTATTAATACTGCCTTGAAGTTAATTACTTTAGAACAATAACCTAGTAATCGCATAAATACTTCATTCAACTAAAAATGTTTTAAATTTTAAAGTTACGCATATTACGAAGTTGGCTATGTCTCAGTACTGGAGTTTAATATGATTTATAAAGTTTACTACATGTTAGCTATGTGACAATATGAAGTTTGCAAATGCTTTCGGGAATACAAATTCAGTGCGGATCTATGAATAAGATCTCCTTTGCGAAAAATACATGATCTCCAACTGTAAAATGAAATATATCAGTCACGTTTTTGGGTCGTGTAGTAGTTACATAGTTCGCATTTTATTTTTATAATGAATAGAAAAATTTCCTATGCATAAGTTTATGCATCGGGAGAGTGTATAAAATATTAGGCTTCGTTATTTTTATATAATTGAATTTTTCATGCTTGTACGAATTAAAGGAAGTACCGTAATCACGAAAAAATTTGGGTATCCTATTTCAACGAAAATATCCATTTTTGACAGCTATCGAATGCAATTTAACGATGTTTCGACGCGACGTCTGCATGTAAGTGCAAAATAAACGACTCTTCTTCCCAAAACGGATTATAAAATGGCATTTTAAATGAATTCAGAAGAGTTTTTTTCGTGACGTCTGTACGTTCGTATGTACGTACGTACGTAGGTATGTATATATCTCGCATAACTCAAAAAGGATTAGACTCAGAATGTTGAAATTTTGTATAGAGAACTGCTAAAACATGTAGTTGTGCACCTCCCGTTTTGGTTCCAATCGACAGCACCAAAGGTGTACATGTAATAATAGCAAGGAAAAGATGGTACAGCGTCGATGCGTAATACCTAGATATTATAGATCGTAGATTCATATTGAAGAGAAAGAATTGTGATTGCATAATATACTAATAAGTTGATTTCGTAATATCTAAAAAACGTGGCAGTCGAGGCAGTTTTAATTCCATTTTTATTAGCGATGAACATTTGTGGCCACAATCCTTTGACACTGTAGTCGTGCGTATTCAACAAAATTTACATTTTTGATAGTGTTGCGATAGGAACAGAGCAGAATGAAACAGCGTCTAAGCGACACAGAGGCAAAAGCTAAAGTGCATAGTTCTCCAATATGAAAACACACGAAGAGAAAGGTTTTGGTTTGAGTTAAAAGTGTCAGTTCCCAATTATTACGTCATCAGTGCTGCGCCATGCAAAATGGAATGATCTAGAAATGACGCAATCTAGAGAAATTATTACAATTTTCATAACAAAGAATTAAAGTGTTACGGTTACTTTAAATTATAATTTTGATTTGCATATTTTATCTTATGTAAGATAAAAAAATATTATATAAGATATGTTTTATTTTATGTAAGATAAAAAAAATCTTATATAAGATATTTTTTATCTTATAATCTTATATAAGATCTTTTTTATCTAAATCTTATATAAGATATTTTTTATCTTATGTAAGATAATTTTACATAATTTTATATATAAGATATTTTTTATCTTATGTAAGATATTTATATGTAAGATATCTTATATGAGATATTTTTATCTTATGTAATCTTATGTAAGATTATGTAAATCAAAATTATAATTTAAACTACGGTAGCCCTTTAATTCTCACTCTCCGTTAAAAATTCTCTTTACCCTAAACAGAGTAAATTTCAGAAAGTAAAGGCAATGATTATATGGTCCTCGTTTCTGAAAGCTTCTCTTCTCCACTTTTAATATTTCTAAACTTGTTTCAGCATACTTTGTTTAATATCTCATATTTTGTTTCTTCGCCTCTGCTTTGTTTGAAATAGAGATGCATTTTCGTATTGATTTCGTTTAAGTTAACATCTCAGTGCAATATCTATGGGAAATAATATTCCTAGTATTGAACTGTACGTTTCGTCTTAGTTTACCATTGCGAATAATCGTGAAGCACTATTTTATTTCTCATCTTTTATTTCAGCGATTGCCTCGAACAACACAGCTGATAAAACAGCGTGCATTCCATATGCCGCCAGGCTAGATTTGATTTTTTCCATTCCGAAATTCTGAAAGTTATATGATAAATAAATTTCGTGATGTTCCAATGCTGCATATTTTCTTTCCAAAGTAAGCTCTATTTGTGGTTTATGAAATAAGTGAAAAAACACTAGACGGCTATCTGCACGTAAAATCAAATATAGATAGTCGTTTGGAATTTGAGCCTCCGGCGTTATCGCCAGCTATATGGAGAGACGAAAAATAATCTAATAAGAGCAACTTTACCACATTTCATTCAATAAATTGCTAAAAGTAAAATCTAAGTTAAATATTTTTGTGCGAAACTTTCTGATGTTAAGTATTATTTTAATATAATTTTAATATATCTTAACATTAAGAGATGAAAAAAATTCGTTATAGTACTTTGCACTTGCTTCATAAGACTTGCGTGTTGTAACTCATCTTATCTGCCTGATAATAACAGAAGAGCAAATCTACCAATTTCATTGTGGACAAAAGGCAAGGACTGCCCTTATCATTGGCTTAGCCTTATAGATGACAAGACCAATTTTGCCAACTCCATTCCATTTTAAGGAGAATCCTCTGGGACACAGTTCCGAGACTGCCCTTCCTAATGTCTCTACAGTGGCGCCCGAATTAAAAGGGTGTTGGATGATGATTCTCCTCACCCAAGATTTGGCGATTGGGTTCCCTAAAAGCCTCAGTCGCCCTTTAAAAGGGCTCTCCTTTTCTCCCGCCTTCCTAGCGTGCCTTCGTGGTGTAGTGGTTCTGCACGCTAGATCGCTATTCCAGAGGTCCTTGGTTCGAGTCCTGGCGAAGGCGTTTGCTAATCTTTCATCTTGCCTGCTTCCAAAATGCCTAACACATGCATTATTTCTCCGCGATTCGAGACAGCGACAAAGCTAGATCAACAGTACACAGCGCAAAATGCCCATTTTAAGTTGGCATAAATCAGTTTTCGACTTGCAATAAAGTAAGTTGGCATAAATCAGTTTTCGACTTGCAATCAGTTTTCGACATGCAGTAAAGGCACTCAAATATTCCACAATAACCCTGTTTGTGTAAATTTGGAATAACAAAATCTCCGATGGCTTCCAAAGAAGGGTTTGATAAGACCCGCCTAACGCTAGAGGCCGCTAAGAGCGCCATTGAGTGTGTTCAGTTACTCGATGGAAGGTGTGACGCAGTGATGATCTGAGATTCTGAGATTGTTATATTATTATACTCCATTAAATCAATTTATATTTTATTGATTCGTGATTATTGATTTTTGATTTATTAATATTTGATGTGATATTATGCTTTGTTGAACCACCATATATTCGAAACTTGGATTACCAGGGTTCTAGAAAAAAGAAACTTTCCAGTCTGGAGCAAAGAACCAGTTCAAGTCATAACCTCACATATTTTCCAAACATTAACTTTTATTATATTACATATTTTACTCACATTTTGATTAGACTTTGGGTAATATTTCATTCATAATGGACATCCGTTCTGTTTTTAAAACGGATTTTTGGAATTTAGTTCTTCATGGACTCAGAGATATGGCATTTAATATCGTAGTGTTACCCTATTATTTATTGTTAACTTATTGCGAGTTTAACTCACGTTAGGAGTTTAATTTAAACATGCTAAGGCATTTCCATTCATAAAATATTCTTCAAATAATCATAATTGATGAGACCTACAAAGAAAGTAAGGCACTTACTTACTATGTTAGTTTATGTTTGTTTTTTAGACTTACTTGATAAGAATATAATTTTGAAATATCAGATCCTTCTTTTACCCACTTGATGAAATTTAGTATATTGTTTGCAGGCACCAGTAACGATGCTGATTTGAAAGATTATCCCCCCCCAAAAAAAAAGGAGAAAAAAAGGAAGAAAGTTGAACTATTCTTGTTATTAAAGCAGGGACATTTCTTTCGCTTGTCACAATGTAATACCTCTAATACAAAGTTACATAAAGACATTTGGGACAAATTTAATGTAAATAGTCATACGGATATTGAAACAGGTTTAAAAACTTTATTGGATATGTTTATTTTGAAAGAGATTTCAAAGCGGAAACACAATCGAAGGATTTGTGAAACATTTGAGCAGAAATCCTTTAAATCAGGGGTTCTCAACCAGGAGGGAATTTCATAATTTCAGGAGGAATGTGGATAGCCTTTTATTTACCTTGTAAGGTTTAGCCTAAATTTTTAACAGTTATCTTCAGTTAAAGCTACTTTCCTATCCTTCTTAATTTCAGCTTATAATTTCCTACCAGAATGTGTTTTTTAGAATTGCTGTTAATGCAAATGAGTAAGAGCGGTATTTATGTCGAAGTTCCACTGATATCGTTAGAGAGTCAGAGATTCTGACTAGCGCGCGTTTGCCTTTTGGCTACACTCTGTCTAAGCTATTACTACGATCGGCCGTATCTCAGGCCTTTGATAGCTTTGCCAGCTTAACTGATATTTAGGGGCCAACTACTTAGAAATTCTTGATAACCTCGGTTATATCTTTTAGTTAAGCTTTAGTTAAGTTTCATTTCTTATTACTTTGGGTTCAAGCCCAAGTGGAGGCTTTTCTGTACGTCCTGAGAAAGGGACCACCTGTGAAATTCTTATTTTGAGAAATAAAGGGTAATTAACCCTTCTTGAGTTTTACGTATCTGTTTCTGAACTAAAGGGAATATTTGCTTACCTGTTCATGAGTTTCCTGCATACTTAGCTGTTAGTTAAAAGGTTGGAACCTCCCCCCAACCTGTTAAGTATTTAGTTTTAGTTTACTAATACAAAAAATTATTTTTATTCAAGTTTTGTTACTTTTTAACATTTTCTATACTTTTTTGATTAATTTATAAAACACATTAAAATAACCTAAATTTAAATAACTGCACATGTACTTTTTGAATTTTGGAAAGGAGGGAGAGAATGATCGTGTAGCAATGGTGTAAGGAGCGCATGGGATACAAAAGGTTCAAACCACTGCTCTCAATGACAGAATTTAGAAATTTGTCTACTAGTTCCGGTTAATTTATACGGACCACTAAGAAAATCTACTCAAAATCGAGTAAAACCAAAAAAATATTTTTATAAATGTTCCTTGAAAAATAATAACTCGTAAAATGACGCCTCCGGTTACAGATACAAATCGTCAATATTTTATCTTGTGCTGCTCAAAATGCTTAAGAAATCATGAAAAAAGCGCAGCTGCCGAAACTATTATTGCTAGTGTTAGTTCCTGAAACTGAAGAAAATGGAAAATCTTATTTGGATTCTTCTCACGTTGTAACAGCTGACACCACAGGTTACTACTACATCATCTAGACGAGTTGTTATGGGTGTATTAAATACGCACATCTGTGCACAAGCTTCTTATATATGATAGCAATACTATCAAATCACTGACATTGCTTGTAGGACAGTTATCGAAAGATATTCTGGAGGCTAATCTTATGGAACAAAAAAATATCAGGAATATTCCCCTTGAGGAAAACTTCGAAAGTAAATACAAATATGGACGTCCGGAACATAAAGCAGATCCGGTAACTGCAAGTAAACCACTGCAAAGAAAACCATATTTTCACGGGAGATGGGTGGTTATTTGAATATGGCAAAGCATTCGAGGGTTATTTGCCTAACGGAAGGGATACCTGTTTGGAGGACGTTCTAAGAGAAACTAGTAACAGATTGGGAAAACTGTGTTACACATGTGAAAAACCACAAAAATCAAACATGCATCCAATCTGTTCGCCTGTGCTCGAACCCATATCAAACTGCTGGTATTCAGCGGTCTTAACCGCTCGTATTCAGCAGTCCGTGCTTGTTATTCAAGACTTCCTATACGGAATGTCCATGGACGCAGTTAAAGATATATATAATGATATTCAAAGTAATGATGAAGAAGAAGAACTATTGAGATGTTTCTTAAATCATTTATAAATACCTAGTTTTTTCATTCTTTTATTGTAGTATAAATATGCCATAAATAAGTATTTTATTATCTCTAATGTCTTGAATCACAAGACAGATTGTACCAGATGTTATAGCAACGGTCACGCAAATCCGAGATATTGCGAATTGGTGGTCTTTGACCTCTGACCGTCCCATGACATCCCAAATGTGTTCTATCGAATTCAGATCCGGTGAGTTAGGCGGCCAGGACATTAACTGTAAATCAGCATCATGTTCCTGGAGCCACTCCAACACAATTGTAGCCTTGTGACACGGGGCGTTGTCCTGTTGGAACATTGCATTTCCAGCTGGAAAACAGAGGCCGTGTAAGGGTGCAACTGGTCCGCGATGATGTACAGATACAAGTTAGCATTCATGGTCTGCTCTACCACAACTACGGGTCCCAGAGACGCCCAAGAGAACGTCCCCCAAAGCATAATACCGCCACCACCGGCCTGTGTATTACCTACTGTGCATTGAGGGAGCAACTGTTCGCCTGGAAGACGGCCACCACGGTATCTAGTATACGGCCTTCCTTTGCTGATGTTATAAGAGCTCCGAAGAAACTCAGCCTAATAATTAGACCAAAAGGCGACACAACTACAGCAGAATTAAAGGAATAGCTAAATACCAAGGTTCCCATATCGAAGTTGCCGGTTGGAGTGGACAGAATAGTTACAACACCCAAAGGAGGCATCGAAGTATTTTGCAAAACAGCAGAAGATGTCTGCCACTTGGAAGAACACTCCACAAAGCAGAGGTCCAAGCAGAATGCACAAGACCAGTTCGTCGCAAACCAAGGTGTGTCGTTCACAACGTCAACGAAGGAGCATCGTCCGACGAGATCGTCAGCGAGATTAGTGCCACCAGCGGCAAGCCTCAGACAATGTACAAAGCACTCTTCAAGCTCAATGAACGAAGAGGAGGATCAGTTAAATGGTCATTGAATGTGAGCCGGCAGGGTTCACGGCAATTATGCAATATAGGAAGATCTTTATCGGATGGCATGCGCATAGACTTTCAGAGTACCTGGGAATCAAGCGTTGTTACCGCTGTCAGCAGTACGGTCACACGCAAGACATCTGCAGAAGCAAGCGACAGTACTGTTCCTACTGCGCAGGCGATCATAACGTCCGTGAAAGCACAGCAAACGCCGCCGAGTGTATCAACTGTGGAGAGGCGAATTACAGATATGGAGCCCGCAGAAACTACACCCAGCGTATCATCCCGATTGCCCAGAATATCAGAGGCAGGTCCACCTCATTAGACAGAAAACGGAATATTAGTCAAATCGTTTGGGACCGGGATTCTAGGCATAGAGAGAGCAGAGCCACTCACAAACCAGAGAGCAGTCAGCAATACAGAAGACATGAATGTAGCACTTGTACAACGCGACTCCCTCATAAAATGTCTTTAAATCAACCTTCAGCGGGCACGTGCAGCCACAACCCATGCAACTGCATATGCGGCGGAAGAGCAGATTGACATGATTTTCGGCCAAGAGCCTTATTGCAGGAATGGAAAAACAATAGGATTCCCACTAAGCTGGACAACGTTTGAAAAAGAAGACGCAAATATGCCACCAAGAGCGGTTATAATTTGTTGCAACCCGACTTGGTTCCTCGTCATAATAAAAAACGAAAGAGACTTTGTGGCCATACTTTTAGAAGTACAAGGTCTTACCATAGTGATGGTCTCACTGTATTCACCTCGAACGGAAGATACAGAAAACGCGACCAATGCAATACAGCAATTCTTACGAGATTACAAAATAGCTAATGTACTGATAGCCGGCGACTTCAACGCGCATAGCACCACCTGGGGCTATGCCGTTACAGACATGAAAGGCCACCATATTGAAGACTTTCTAGCTAGCCAGAATCTGGTCGTGCACAATCAGGCAGACTCCCCTCCAACATTTGACAGGGTCTTTGCGCAAGGCTGGCCTGAACTGACGGTATCCACCTTACAGGCAGCATTATTGATACAAGATTGGCAGGTTGTGGAAGAATCAAGTCTATCTGATCACAATTACATCAGATTCGACCTTGCCAGTAAGACCTCAACTACGATTATCAGGAGGTATAACTTACCAGGCCGAAAGATCAACTCATTTGCACGTATGATCAGGGCTAAACTCTCCTTATTCCAAGAACAGCTGCAACAAGCACAGGCTACAGAAGAACTTGAATCACTGGTCCAGCGAATAATGCAAACAATCCAAGAAATATGTGACCAGCACTTACCTGTAAGAACTGCCAAGCGAATAACATCCCTAAACTGGTGGAATAGCTCTCTAAGAGTACAGCAGAAGAAGTGTCGAGCTCTGCGACGCAGACTAAAGCAAGAGCGAAGGAATTTCATGCCCACTCAAACTCTCCCCATCTTTCAAAGGGAAAGGGCAAAGTACAAGCGCATGATTCTCGAGGCAAAAGTAACCACATGGAGGGAATTCTGCACCAACAACACGGTCACGTATGGCATACACATAAAATAGCAACAGGAAGGCTCTTCAAGCCAGCTAACTTCCATCTACTGCCAACCCCAGACATCTGCAACAACTTTACAGCAAACATGCTAGATGAAATCTTAAATAGTCTTCACAACCGATGATCCTTCGAACGACACCCCTGCACACGCTGCAATACGCAACCTGCCAATAGCAATTGACACGCAAGATGACCCAGCATTTACCTGTAAAGAGATCCTGACCGTAGTGAGACAGCTACCCCAGAAAAAGGCCCCAGGCCCGGACGAAGTGGACTATCGGATTATCAAAGTAGTAATACGCACCAACATCGACCTGTTCTGTACCCTGTTTACCAAACTTCTCTCAACACCGGTACGTTCCCCCGCTGTTTCAAAGTGGGTCAAGTGGTCCTTTTCTTGAAGAAACACAGAGATCCAACGCGAGCAGATTCCTATCGACCCATTTGCCTGCTCTCGGCAATGGGTAAGGCATATGAAAAACTCATTATGAACAGGCTCAGACACCACCTTCACAGGACTGATTTTCTAAGCCCTATGCAATTCGGGTTTAGAGCAGGTAAATCAACCCTTCATGCCCTGTTCGAAGTTAAAGAGCACATCCTGCAAAATAAACACAGCGGCTACCACACAGCGTTCGTTAGTATAGATCTGAAAAGTGCTTTCGACACACTGTGGTGTCCCGCAATTCTACAAGCACTACGTCATGCGAGATGTCCCAGCAATATCCATAGGACACTAGCCCATTACCTCTCGGATCGACGTATCATCTTTGTGCATAATGATAGGGTAATTAGACAAAAGCAAACACAAGGCTGCCCGCAGGGGTCTTGTGCAGAGCCGCATTTGTGGAGTATTACCTACAATGCCGTCCTATCACAGCCTTGGCCCGAACATACTAAAGTAGTCGCCTATGCCGACGATACTGCACTTATAATAAGGAGCAGAACAAGAGAGGAATTGCAGGCACATTCTAACCAGTCATGCGCCATTTTTCAACAACGTTGTGACGCCCTCAAACTAAAGATTGCAGAATTGAATCACAAATAATGCTTATCCCGAAAAAAGGGGGCAGCTTAGTGCGCCAGCCCTACATTCAAATAAACGGGCAAAGAATAAGAATAGTTAAGGAGTTAAAATATTTAGGTTTAATCTTCGACCCAAAATTTAATTGGATTCCGCACGTAATGGAAATTAAGAAACGCACAAAAATAATAGCCCAGCAACTTCGACAGATGCAAGGACATTTATGGGGTTTAAACCCATACATCCAAAAGACTCTCTATTTGACCGTGGCAGAAAAAATCGCAACCTACGGCGCAGCAATATGGGCCAACCCCATGCAGGGGAGAAAGGTACGACATTTACAGAGCTTACAGCGACCATTCCTGTTGAACATTACGAAGGCATTCAAGACCACTTCAACGGCGGCCCTAAATGTCATATCAGGGATTATGCCTCTACATATCAGCGTAGAGCGAGAAGCAGCGCAGCAATTAGTGATCCAGCTGCACAAAATGGCAACATTCGGTGATGTCATCTATTCACCAGAAGACCTAGAGCGGGATTATGATCTATTGGATACCCACCCAGCAATGCAGTGTATAGGAGTTAATGTGAACCTGGAAAACAACGAACCAAAGACCAACAGGTACATTGAATTGTATACAGACGGATCGAAATTAGATGAGAACGTTGGCTGCGCGTATGCTGTTATACAGCAGCACAACATACAGCATACGTGGAAAGGTCATTTACATGCAAATAATAGCGTTTTTCAAGGCGAGGTCACAGCGATCGCACAGACCCTGCTCTACGTAACTAGGAAGAAAATATGCAATGTCTTTACATCACAGACTGCCTCTCATCCCTATATGCTATCCTAAATCCAGCACATAAGTCTCCAGCGATTGCCTCCATAACAATCGACACTACGAGAACACCAGCACCTGCAGATAAAATTAGAATGGACTAAAGCTCACGTTGGAAACTTCGGGAATGAGCTGGCTGACAAATTGGCGAAAGAAGCAGCTAAAATTGTAAATGCAGCGCAAATAACAATCCATGGCCGAAGTCATATGTCAAGAGAAGTCTCATGCTTGCCGCAACGTCCCTGTGGCAAGAAGAATGGGAAAACGGAGCTACGGGACGTAGAGCACACTACCACATGTCATACGTGAACCGAGATCGTCTCGTAACGCACCCGCAACTGGTAAGATACATATCCGGATACGGTCCTTTTCCGGCCTATTATGCCAGGCATAACATCACGAACACCGCACAGTGTTGCTGCGGAGAACGCGGCATCCCAGAGCACTATGTGGTGGAGTGCCCATTAACAGAGGGACTTCACATACCAATCCCAACGGTAAACAAGCAGGCCTTCTGCAAATACCTTATAAAGCTGAGGCACCTCACTAAAAAATAGTCAAAATAATGAATAAGCTCAAGAACATAGGTACTGACTTATGCGCAGCGGACTAGTCAGTGTAAGCCATATCAGTAAATACCACAAAAAATGCTAAGCATATGTCAATGTGTAATGTATAATAAGCAGTAATAAATGTAAGTGTGTACCCAGGCAATCAGATTGATAGGCAATAATTAATGCAGTGAAGCAGTATATTAGACATAATGTACATAAGCAGACGTAAATATAAGTGTGTATTGCAATAATAGTGTTCTAAACGTAATAATGTTTAAATGTAAAGCAAACAAGTAGATGTAAAAGCAAGAATGTTTTTAAAAATTAATGATAGTGTTTTTAAATATTGTAATGTGTAACGTAATGTATATAAGCAGTTGTAAATGTCAGTGTGTACTTATGCAAACAGATTGACACGCAATGATTAACGTAGTGATTACCTGAAGCAGTGTATTAGATGTAACTGTAAGTGTATATTGCAATAATAGTGTTCTGAATGTAAAAATGTTCATAAATGTAAAGCAAGCAAGTAGATGGAAAAGCAAGTCTTTTTTTTTAATTAAGGATAGTGTTTTTAAATATTTAATGTGTTTTTTAATGTAATGTATATAAGCAGCTGGAAATGTGTGTAATTATGCAAATAGATTGAAACGCAATAATTAATGTAGTGATTAACTGAAGCAGTGTATTAGGCGTAATGTACATAATCAGACGTAAATATAAGCGTGTATTGCAATAATAGTGTCTTAAACGTAAAAGTGTTGTTCTAATTGTAAAACAAACAAGTAGATGTAAAAGCAAGAGTGTTTCTAAAAATTAATGATATTTTTTTTTAAATTTTCATGTGTAATGTAATGTATGTATGTAGTGGTAAATGTAAGTGTGTACTCAAGCAATTAAATTGAAATGTAATAATTAATGCAGTGATTAACAGAAGTAGTGAATTAAACATAATGTACATAAGCAGATAGCAGACGTAAAAGTAAATCTGTATTGCAATAATAGAATTCTAAACGTGAAAGTGTTATAAATGTAAAGCAAACGAGTAGATGTAAAATCAAGAGCTTATTAATGATAGTGCTTTTAAAAAAAAGTTGTAATGTGTAACATAATGTATATAAGCAGTTGTAAAATGTATGTGTGTATTGCAGGAACAGTGTTCTAAACGTAATAGTGTTTTAAATGTTAAGCATGTATTGTCAAGTGTAGTAATACATTAAGCAAATAATGTCAATGCAATTGTAATATGAATTACAAAATGTATCTCTAGATGTAGGTGGACGTGGCGTTATACCAGGTAGAGGCATGGTGCCCACGCCCTCCGTCGCATATCGCATATCGCAATAAGGTAACCGTCCAATGTATTCGGTATATGCCCATTCTGAGCTTGCCAGACTTAACTTCGTAACTTGCACGGCCGCCTGATTAGTTCGCATCAAGGAAAAGTGCAATATAATTACTCGAAAACTAGCCCACTCGTAGTGCCCCAGGGGTATGACTGACTGTGGTATGAACTCTTTTTTTTAGCTTACTTCATATTTTACAAGTCAAACATTCTTAATCTCACGTAACGGTGGAAATGTTACAACATTAGAAAATAGAGCAGAAAGTTTTTTAATGCAGAATTTTAATATCAATAATCCCAAGTTAAGTGCAAAGATTCATTACTCATAAAAATTTTGCAAGTCATAAACAAGCACGATTACATCAAATACCATTCCACTGTCTGAAGATCTACACTGAATTAATTTGTAGTTGGCGGAAAAAAATAGAAAGGCTTTTACGAGTACTTATGTTTGCTATCAATTACACTATAAAAACACACTTTTTCTTCCTTTACTGACGTTTATTCGTTCCAGATAATGATCAAAGGAATTTTTGATAAATTCTTACTTCGGCGCATTTAAAACGGTCGCATGCTGTGCAGACGAAGCAAAAGAAAATTGCGATTAGGCTTTCATGGTTTATTTTTCAAACTAATGAAAATATATTTGCCTCTGAAATCCCAGTGATAAAATATTATTTTCTCTCTCCAATCTCTTGAAAAATATGAAGATTTTTAAAGCTCACTCAGAAGACAAACGCGCTGTGTAATTTTATTTTCTTTCACTCCCCTTTCGATTTCACAAAAGTGAAACCAGTCGGAAGGCGGGAAGAGCGATTTATTAGATTTTTGTTTTTGACTATGATGCGTATAAAAATACAGTCATTTTATTTGGATGGTGGTAGTAGTTTCTCCTCTGTTTGAACAGGGACGAAAAAATAATACACTAACATTCGTTTTATCAGTTCGTAAAACGCAGTTTCTGTTTTGCCTCTCTCTTTCGTTCCATCGACGAACAGATGGCTCCTTTTAGCCTGGTGTGAAATAATGGATTGTAGAATAATTCTTGCAAAGAAAGTAGTTTTAAAATCGTATATCAATAACAGGATTTCTTTTCATTTTCCTGGGAATATAAAATTGCCCAAAATTTAATTTTCAAACACCATTCCGTTATTTTTATATTAGCTCCAGGCAGATCTTCTTGCAACGTTTTTGAAGGAAAAACGACATCCCTGTCGTCATTTGCTTTTATTCTGAGGTTTGTTTTATATTTTCCTTGCCAGCATATTTTCGTCCACTGTATTTCTGCAGCTTTTCAGTGAAGCATTTAATAATGAAAACTAGAAGTAGTTACTATCGCCCTGACCGGCATAGTGGTTAGTGTTCTTGGCTGTCATATGATTTGGCCCGGGTTCTAATCCCGGAAAAAATTTCAATGTTGAACAGTAGGCGCTACTTAATTGTGGTCGCATTTGTCCTCGTTGTATAACACTGTTATAGAAAAGATAGCGCTGTATGGTGCAGCGATATGGGCGTCACCAATGACGGTGAGAAAACAAAAGCAACTTCAATCCATACAAAGGCCCTTTCTTTTAAATTATTCCCGTGCCTACAGAACAACCTCAAATGCTGCACTGTTTCAGCTCACCAACAGCATCCCCCTATTCTTAGCTGCGGAGCAGAAACATGCAAAGGCTTCAGTTCTTTAGCTAAGAAAAGACTGCAAAATTACAAATGAGATAGTAGCTGCCAGCTCCTACACCTCACCGACTCATCCATATGAAAGACACCCAGCTAGCCGAAATAATATCACACTATGCATAAGGCATAATAGATACCAAGCACTATATCCGAAGATCTACACTGATGGTTCTGGCATAAACAACGGAAAAGGATGTGCTGTAAAAATATATCTCAGTGACTATGAAACAAAAGACTTCAAGTTCCAACTTGACAAAGAGAATAGCGTTTACAGTCGGAAATGTACGCGATTCTGCAGAAAACCAACGTAAGCACACATCATCATTTTCCAAGGACTTACATCTATACAGATTGTCTCTCGGCAATGCAAGCACTCGCAAACCCCAATAATAGATTACGATTAGCTCAGGAAATTCTTAGAAAGTCCTCCAATGCCCAAGGCCAACACTTCTTTATAATCTGGATCAAGGCCCATGTTAGTCATAAGAGAAACGAAGAGGCTAATATATTAGCCAAGGAGGCAGCACAAGGAATCAATGCCAAGAAAATAAGCATCCCCTGGCCAGTTTCTCACTTCAAACTAAAACTTCAGATCACAACTAAAGACTTATGGCAACAATGGTGGGACGCTGCAAATACGAAACAGAAGAGTTTACAACCTCTTTCCCAAAGTTGACTCTCCTCCAATCTCTCTCTCCAGAGATATCACGTGGTTTATCACGGGGCACGGTCTCTTTCCGACGTACCTCTGTGTAAGAAATCTCTCTTCATCAGACTCCTGTGCATGTGGTGAAAAGGGTCACCCCGAGCATTATCTATTTTCCTGCCCGTTTACAGATTCCCTTCATCTAAAGAAGCCAAATTCAGAAGAGGATTTATTCCCATTTCTTAGATATGCAGTCAAGAATAAGCACTTGAGGAATAAAATTACGAAGGTTATTGACTTTTTGGCAGCTAGAAGTCAAGAGTAGTGTACTTTAACCTTCAAAGAAATGCTCCAGAAATAGCAAAATAAAGCAATTAAATGCAGACATAATGCACGCGGGCGTACTTTTATAGGAAGAAATAAGCATCGCAAACCATATGAAGCACAAAATAGGTCACTCACAAGTAGGATAAGGGGCTCCTATCTGTTTACTTCAGGTAAATAATAGATGACCCTTACATTTCTATGTAGCATAAGGTCACCAAGACCTGATAAGTGAACACATATAATAAATAGCCATCATTGAATTGGTAAAGTATCAACAATGTAATGCATCATAGAATATAATTCATGTAAATTAATTATTGTAAAAACACATGTACTTGCATACAATGAATATGTTGACAAAAATAAGTTGGCAATGTATCAGCATATGTATGCAGATATATCTAAAAGTACGTAGTATGCATAAGTACGCAGGGTGACAGGTGACGGAGGACGGGGACGCCTG